TGATGCGCCGCCTACACGAAGTACGCGCGGGTGAGTCGGAAGCCAACCAAGTACTGAAGCTACTTGCCTTGATGCCGTGGGAGTTCCGACACCTTGTGGACCGGTTGTCGAACTTGCCCGACGAAGAACAAACCATCTCCAAGACGAAGGTCGTCCTTGAAGCCGAATGGAAAGCCGCCGTTCGGAAAGGCGTCATCAAAATGCCGCGTGGCCATGCCAACGAAGACTGCCCCTTGTTCGCAACGGGTTGACGCTTCACACAACGGAACAATAGCCGTGGGCGCAGCCAAGAACGCGGTACAACAGGCAGCAAGCGTTTAACAAGCGACTCAGGACCAAGGAGGCAAATCGAGAAGTGAATTGATGCGTCAATCGATCATTGTCCACTTTCGGAATGTATCGTCGGAGAACTTGGTGGCGCACTTTGTCAAGGTATCGGCACGGGCCTCGGCGGTGGGAACGAAGGTGAGCGTGAGGCGGCCGAGCTGGACAAGTTCGCGCAGGTGGCGGTGGCGTACGTCATTGTGCTTGTTACGTTCTTGAACGGAGGTCGACTTGGACCTGGCGATGGCTGACACGTAGTCGCAGTGTAGGACGAGGCGGAAGTCATCGACTCCAAGGTCATTCAAGAGGACGCGCAGCTATGTCGACTCGCGTGCGGCTTCGGTGGCGGCGACGTATTCGGCTTCACAGCTTGAAAGTGCGGTGATGCGTTGGCGGATGCTCTTTCACATGAGCGGGCCACCCAAGATCGACCATATGAAGCCGGTGGTAGGGCGGCGGTCGGGACGCGTCGCCCAGCTTGCGTCGCAGTACCCGGACAAAGTAAACTCCCCTGAACCGAAGCTGATTCCCCGTGTTGTTGTCCCTGCTAGGTATCGCAGGACTCGTTTGGCGCCGAGCAGTGTTGGGCGCGAGGGGCGTGAAGGTGGCAGACAGTCGTCGGACGGCGTGAGCGATGTCGGTTCGGGTGCAGGCCATGAGTTACACGAGTGATCCAACCATGGCGCGGTACTCCCCTTGGTCGATAGGTGGTTGATTTCCGTCATGTCATAGGTCTTCTTCGTCGGCGACTTCCGGGGTGGTGACGGGATGGCAGTTGGCGAGCCCAAAGCGCTCGAGGACTTTGGCCGCGTATGCGTCTTGGCACAAGGTGAGTAGTCTTCCTTCGTGGTGGCGGTTGATGCGTATTCCTAGCAGATAGTGTACGGGGCCTTGACGCTTGAGCTCGATTTTGGTTGCGAGTTCCTCCACGGCTGCGTCCATGTTGGCCTGGGTTGTGGTGGCAATGATGAAGTCGTCGACATACGTGCCAAGGATTTCCATGTCGTCGCCCTGGTCTCGGGGGAACACTCATGGGTCGTGGAGGCTTTTCGACCAGCCCAAGGCGGCGATTTGTACCTTGCAGTGCTTTTCGAATTCGTGGCCGTTTTGGTTCAGCCCGTAGAGGGCCATGGTGACGAACGCGGCCATGCCGGACTGCGTTTCATGTCCTTCAGATTCGACGGCTCATATTGGCGTGCTTAACTTGGCTGGCGCTGCTTTGTGGTGGCGTGTCGGCTTGTGGTGCAGGGGGCCGTGTCGGTAGACAGTCGTCGGACGGCGTGAGCGATGTCGGGTCGGGTGCAGGCCATGAGGTACACGAGTGATCCGACCATGGCGCGGTACTCCCCTTGGTCGATAGGTGGTTGATTTCCGTCATGTCATAGGTCTTCTTCGTCGGCGACTTCCGGGGTGGTGACGGGATGGCAGTTGGCGAGCTCAAAGAGCTCGAGGACTTTGGCCGCGTATGCGTCTTGGCACAAGGTGAGTAGTCTCCTTCGTGGTGGCGGTTGATGCGTATTCCTAGCAGATACTGTACGGGGCCTTGACGCTTGAGCTCGATCTTGGTTGCGAGTTCCTCCACGGCTGCGTCCATGTTGGCCTGGGTTGTGGTGGCGATGATGAAGTCGTCGACATACGTGCCAAGGATTTCCATGTCGTCGCCCTGGTCTCGGGGGAACACTCATGGGTCGTGGAGGCTTTTCGACCAGCCCAAGGCGGCGATTTGTACCTTGCAGTGCTTTTCGAATTCGTGGCCATTTTGGTTCAGCCCGTAGAGGGCCATGGTGACGAACGCGGCCATGCCGGGCTGCGTTATATGTCCTTCAGATTCGACGGCTCATATTGGCGTGCTTAACTTGGCTGGCGCTGCTTTGTGGTGGCGTGTCGGCTTGTGGTGCAGGGGGCCGTGTCGGTGCAGTTGCGGTGCTTGTGCACGTTGGTGCTAACGTGGTGCTTGTTCGTGATGGTGCGGTCGTGTTGCTTGTGGGTGACGGTGCTACGGGGGTCGGCGTGATGGGTCGTTGGCGGTGTCGACTGCGTTGCGGACTGTGTGGACGGCAGGTTCGAAGATGGTGGGAGCAGAACCGAGTGCTCGTTGGAGCTCGATATTGGTGCCGGCCTGGTGTCATCGTCGTCGTCGTCGATTGTGTCCGGGAGCGGCAAGTCATTGAAGAACTTGTTCATCATGACTGTAGCGTGAGTCATCTTCAGGTTCTCAACGTCGTGCAGTTTGTAGGCCTTCATGGAGTCCATAAACCCTTCATCACGCAGAGTGTGTCCTTGGGTGCGAGTTTGTTGTTTGTTGCGTCGTTCGGGTTGCTTCACCAGCTTGAACACTTGCATCCGAAGACCCGCACGTTGTCCAGCGGCGGCGAGTGATCGCTGAAGAGCTCGATCGGCGTCTTGGTGCACTTGGTTGTTTGCAGTACGCAGTTACAGATGAAGGCGC